AGTCGTATGGTCAGACCCAGCAAAATCCCAACAAGAACAAAGGACACTCCCCAAGCAGAAAATGTTAGTTGGGACAACATTTTGTTTGTCATTATGTTAGCATATTGCAAGGGTTTGCAAATGGCTACATATCTGTCTAAAGCCATAATCATGAGTGCAGTGTGGGTAGTGGTGCCATACATGTGCAAGATGAAGGCTTGAACCACACACTCGTAGTAACTGATGATACGTTTAGACACGGGAAGCATCATGTTTATCAGCAAGCGAGGCAACAGAATTGAGTTTCCAAGTATGTCATTGAAAGATAAATTCCAAAAAAGTAAATACATTGGCTGATGAAGGTTTTTGTCCATGAAAACAATTGCTGCAATTCCCACGTTTGCTACAATAATGAACAAGTAAGAAACAAACAGAAAAAGGAACAAAGGGTAAATGGAGTCCTCCGAGACTAGAAGTCCCTCCAGCTGGAGTGTCAGGCTGTTGTAGGTGTAGTTTTCCATGGCTCTGAATAAACTAAGCACGGCTGTTCTAGTCACATCGCCACTGTTAAGTCACTACAAATATATTAAAAAACGAATTAACTACTAATTAACAACAATGCCTGATGAATTTGTCTGTAGTATTTCTGCTAAATAATGCCGTCACACTGAATGAAACCATGAAAACTACATTGACCACAAGTCACATATTAATGAATCTTGGTCGTTTTGAACATTCGTTCGGGACAGCACCAGCTCATGTTTTTATGAAGACAGAGTTGTCCTTTGGGAATGTTTGAACCACACGTGATGTTGTGTTAGGGAATGAATGTAGTCAGGAAACATCCCAAGGACCCGTGCTCTTTATTTACTATACTCCTTATGTTAAATATAAACTATTAAAAAGAGAATAAACAGATTTGTTGTTGAGTGGTTGATCATAATTTTTAAGCTATTGCTTTATTGGGTTTTCACTGTTGGATAACAGACCAATACAGATATGTACAGATATTACATTATTATGTTATATATAATATCATGTCTTTATATTATATTATTACTAGCAATTTGGTTTTCAGTTGTCTGTTTTTTCCTGACCACAACACACATTCACTATCACAGTACTCTTTTTACACAAATGCCCCTTTTACTTTAGCTTCACACCTTTGTGTGTAACGATTGGTCGAGTCAGGTAGCAGCCTAGTATATCTGCCAAATATATATATAAAATAAATATATATCCGTAAGTCAATCCACATGTTGCTATTAAATGATTTCTCCCTTTATTGCAGTGTTTCAAACCACCTCTTGATTTTGTTAGACTTCAGTAATGTTTGCATTTTTGTAATGTATCTGTTGTAGATAGAATGAAAGATGTCATGGTTTTTTTTTAAACAAATGGATGATAAGAGAAGCACAGTCACATTGGCCGTTTACTAAATAGGTTATTATTGTGAACACATTTTTTCCTGATGTTCCTGATGTTGTTCATTCCTATGCTTCAGTTGTTTAATGTAAATACTTCATTTTTACAAGCAAAACATTTTTTCGAAGAAAAAAATTCCATTAAAAACTTCCGAATCTCTTTAGAGTGTACTCCGTAGATAATGGGGTTAAGGCTTCCAGGCACGATGACAAAAAGAACTGCAGCAAGTTTTCTGTAGTCGGAGTACTCAGGAAAACGATGCAACGTAATGATAACAGATCCACTCAACAACATGATAATGTACACCAGCAGATGAGTGCTGCAGGTCTTTAAGGCTTTGCTGTTCACAGACTTGTTTCTACTGGTCAGACAGACGGCTGTGATCCTAGCGTAGGTGAAGACCATGCTGCCGACAGAAGCTGTGAGCAGGATCACGGTGAGGGTGAGGCCGTAGACGTTATTAATAAAAACACTGTCACAGGACAGTTTAAACAGTGAAGCATTGTCACAGAACGGGTTTTTTATCACATTCCTGCATCGACTCAGTCTTATAGAGAGACCAAGCAATATAGAAACCAGAACAAAGGCCACTCCCCAGGCAAACACTGTCAGTTTGATCACCACTTTGTTGGTCATAACGGACGTGTAGCGCAGAGGATTACAGATGGCTACGTATCTGTCGAAGGCCATGATCATTAGCAACGTGTGGGAAGTGCAGCCAAACAGCTGTGTGGTGAAAGCTTGAACTACACACTCCTGATAAGTGATGAGACGTTCAGAGGGAGGCAGTAAAATATCAGACAGCAGCCGAGGAATGATATGAGTGCTTCCGATGATATCACTGACGGACAGGTTGCAGAAGAGAAGATACATGGGCTGATGAAGGTGTTTGTCAATGATAATGATAATCAAAATACCCACATTCAGAACAATAACAACAATGTAGGAGATTAGGAACATGAAAAAGACGGGGTACACGAATCTCTTTGTGATCTTTAAACCCTCCATCCGAAGAGTGAAACTGTTGGATGTGAAGTTCTCCATCGACCTGAAAACAAAGAGACGTTATTATATCAGTTGTTACTTACATCATATTTGATTCTATTACACTGGTGTCGGCTGTGATGAAGAATCACTTTTTGTTAGAAATTAAGATTTAGAAAATATACATGCTTGTCTAGGATTGGCTAATATTAAACAAATAACTTTTCTAATTCAAATTACACCTGCTTTGTGACCAACGGTCATCATTCACTGAGCAGAGCAGCTGAGAAACCCCAACCAACAAAGACCTCCTGTACTTTTATGCAATTCATCTACTATACATTAGGGAAATCATTGAGCAACATGTAGTAGTGGTTACATAGTGAGACTGTAATTATTACACTACGGTGTATCAGTAGACAAACTACTTACTTTAGTTAGACAAAAGGAGAATTGTCACCTATACAAACATTACTCCTTCACCTGGTCAAATTCAGACTCAAAGTCATACCTTGTTAGGTCAGGACAGACAAGTTGCAACATATAAGATACATGGGCTGATGAAGGTGTTTATCCATTATCAGAATATGAGATGGGATAAATGGATCCTCTGTGGTTCAGGTTTGTACTGACAGAACATGTAGGTGTTATTCACCTGCTTCAACCAACAACCACAAGGTGCATTGGAATTTTAAGTTTTTCATTGGTAATGTGTAAAGGTGAATAACATCTACTGAATGTTTCTCCCATCTTCAGTCCATGTATGGGGTCGGTGTGAAATAGAATCTGAGCCAGGGCTCTTGACTGGCACTGATTGACAGCTTTCAAACTGATATACAGTGATATGTTACTTTGGTTAACACCACCTGTGACCAGGGTGTCTTTTCTCACACAGGTGGGTCAACGAAGGGCTGTTCACACTGAAGACTTATGGTGGTCACAATCTCCAATGTGAACATGAACGTAGCCTTAGGCCGGGCATACACTGTACGGTTTCAGCTTGTTTTTGACCCAATTTTTGAGACGCACGACCTGGCGATGCACAGTCCGATTTCACGTTTCATCGGGTGTCTTTTTCCATACAGTTTACACGGGGTAACAAGGGCCGATTATCTGTTCCTGAACCACCGTCAGACAGTTGGAAGAATTTCTGACGGGCCGTTTTCACCCGCACAGTGTGAGTACATGAATTGAGAGCTTTGTCCGTACGTCGTAGACGATTACTCGTACAGTGTGTGATGGTATCAATGTCAATGGTACCAATGACAGATTTTCAAAAATCGTACGGTATGCCTGGCCTTAGGCAGGAAAGGTGGTAAAAGACCAAACTAGTCGAGAAAGTGATGACCTTATTATAATTGGTGTTAATTATTGTTGGTGTTTATAGCGAGTGAAGGAAATTGAGTTGTTTGTTTAGCATTTCCACCAGCATTTCAGAAATAGAGCAGCATCATTTTGGAAAGAGCTCATGTTCACATGCGCCTGGTCTCATATGGATATGATGAGGGCAGTGGAGCCTTGGTGGTTAACAAAGCAGACTGGGAGCTGGGAGGTTGCAGGTTCAAGTCAACCAGTGCCATGCTCAGGTGCACTGTTCCCAGATACTGCTGTGCAGGTGCTTGAGCCCCCCCCTGCTCACTGTGGTGATGGGTTCAACACAGAGGTCACATATGTGCAGTGTTGTGCTCTGTCACAATGACACGTAATTCACTTTCATTCATTGTTGGGCTAAACGTCTACAAAGTCAGTACCATATCCAGTCAGTGTCAGGGATGGTCAGTCCCAAACTCAGGATCTGAATTGGTCCAATATTGACCAAAGGTTCAGGATGGAACAACTGTAGCCCGTCTGATCCCAGATCTAAACTAACTTTGTGTGAAGTCAGTAACTAATTTCCAGTCTGTATCCAGTGTCTCTTATGTGTCAGATGATGACGCTTTTACTCAGATAATAAATAAATACATTGGGAAAAACTGTGAAATGAACAACAAACCACTTTGTAGATTAGATCACATACTTTAGTTTGAAGCCTTTCAAACCTACTGTTCTTATAAGTATTCAATGCAAAAACCAAGTTGAAAACAAATGTGTTCAGCTGTTTTTAATTTTGCATTTATCATGTTATTAAATACTTACTTACAACATACTTAGAATCATTTATATTTTATCCGGTTTTAAACTGTTACATTGAAGTTTGTTGGAAAAGAACTGTCTGATCTCTTTGGACTGAACACCATAAATAACAGTGTTCAGGCTTCCAGGCACAATGGTGAAGAGAATGCCAGAAACTTTGACGTAGTCTTTGTACTGAGGAAAACGATGAAGAATAATTTGAATGTTCCCACTGAACATCATGATCACGTACACCACTAGGTGAGTGCTGCAGGTCTTCAAGGCCTTGCTGCTCAGAGACTTGTTCTTCTTGGTCAGGCAGACTAACAGTATCCTAATGTAGGTGATGGTGATGCAGCCTAGTGAGAATACAAACAGCACCACAGTGTAGGTCAGGCCGTAGACGTTGTTAATAAACACACTCTCACAGGACAGTTTAAACAGTGACGCGTTGTCACAGAACGGACCACTGATCAGAGTCCTGCAGCGACTCAGCCTCACACTCAGACCAATCAGAATCCCAACCAAAACAAAGGGAACGGCCCAGGCAGAAACGGTTAGCTTGATAATCATTCTTTTGGTCATGATGGCACCGTAACGCAGAGGGTCACAGATGGCCACGTATCTGTCGAAGGCCATGATCATCAGCACAGTGTGGGAGGTTGTACCAAACAGTTGTACAGAGAAAGCTTGTGCCACACACTCGTAATAAGAAATAAAACGTTCGGGGGGGAGGAGTACGAGATCTGCGAGCAGCCGAGGAATGATGCAAGTTCCACCAATCAGGTCACTTACAGAAAGGTTGCAAAAAAGAAGATACATTGGTTGGTGAAAGTTCTTATCACCAACAACTAGAACTAAAACGAAGACATTTGTTATAACCAGGAAAATGTAGGATGATAAGAAAAAGAAGAACAGAGGAATCATGTACTCCTCAGAGACTTTGAAGCCCTCCATCTGGAGTGTAAAACTGTTGTAGGTGTAGTTTTCCATCATGAAGAAAATGACATAAAAGATCAAAGTATTTTTAAGATTACATTTGATTATTGAAAAAAACCCAAAACAAAACAAAACAAAGACGATACAAACACAGTTGCTGTTCTATTGAAAAAATATAAAAATGTAATGTGTAAAAATGCTGTTAAATATTAGTGACTACATTTTATAATAGTTGAAGATGCCCCACAGTAGTACCTTCATGGAGCCAGCCTTCAGTCCTTGTGGTGACATTTAGTGATGACCTGAGTTTTACATCAGGGAAATATTTATTATAACAGTCGTGTAGTGCCACATGCAGAAATGACTTTTGTTACCAGTGCAACTGTAACTAGGCAACTGAGCCTCTAGTGTTTACACTCCCATGTTAGCATTTTTACATTCACCATTCTCTTTCATGAACCACCCTACCCTTTCCAAAATTCAAGCTAGTTTTATTTTTAAGTGTAGTCTATAGCAGCGGTCCCTAACCTTTTCGTCTGGATCATTGAAGGATCATTAAATGCATTCGATTCAAAGGTCAAACATATCTTATACTTTATTCTGTTAGTATCGCAGTCTGAATGACATATTTAAAATATATATATATATATACATAAAAAGAAAGTAAATGGATGTGACTGGATTCTCTTTCAATTAGGTTAAGTACATTTTTTCACTGTGACCTGTGACCCTCTACTGTGGCCTGGTGTCAGATGAATGTGGTGACCCCTGGTCTATAGTATGACTACTTGGTTGACCCTTTATTTTATTCCATAGATCTAAGCTTCAAAACAAGAGCCTACATGTGTTACTTCAGTTGATGAAGGAAGACAAAAAGTTAGAGATGCATAACAGCTGTGTGCTGTCATATTTATTGTGCCATTTAATTTCTCTCTAGTCTCCGTGGTCTATGATAGACTCTAGTTTTGATTTGGACTGGTGTCAACACGGCCCAGAACCCAGATATATGTAGTTCCTATACCATAGTAACTAGGCATGATGGGTTGTTACGTTCCTCTTCCTCAAACTTAGTACTTCAAAGCAGGTACACTGTACTTGGGTTCTCTGTAGACTCTTCACCATTAAACATGTCTTGATGCGTTTTTCATCCAAATCTTCACTTGTTTCATTGGATTACAGTTGTTGCATTTTTATTTTAAACTATAGAATAACTTAAACAGGAAATACTGCTACCTGGAAGTAGTCACGACCTTTGACTGGACTCACCTGAAAATGATCCAAACTTTCAAACACTTTTCCACTGGGGGAATTATTATATGTTTGAATTAACATGAAGCTGGATATGTTGTGCAGTGGCAGTTGATCTTTATTGTTGATTCAGTTTCAGGATACCAGGTACTAGTGTGAAACTCAGAAAGTCAGCAAGCGGTTCTGATATTTAGGAATACAGGTAGGAAGAACAGAGGTGTTAGAAGCAGAATGATGATATTGAATGTTGGTTCTTTAAATAATGGCAATTATGTCACTTCACGCAAAGTATTTAAAAACTTGATCACATTTATCTATTTTCTACTGGAAAGCCCTAGTTTATCTCCTAAGAATTTTCTGATCTCCTTGGACTGAACACCGTAAATCACAGGGTTTAGAGTTGCCGGGACAATGGTGAACAGGATGCCAGAGAGCTTAGCGTAGTCTTTGTGCTCAGGGAAACGATGCATGATGATCAGAATGCTTCCACTAATGACCATGATCAGATACATAGTTAGATGAGTGCTGCAGGTCTTAAAGGCCTTGGTGCTCACAGACTTGTTCTTAGAGGTCAGAACCACGATCATTATACGTGTGTACGTGATAACGATGCTGCCCAACGACAGCGTGTACAGTAGAACAGTGTAGGTCAGGCCACGAGTATCTCCTCAATCCCGCTGACACGTCTTCCACGGAGGGAGCTGAGGCTGAGGACTTAGCAGCTGATCCTCCCATCTCCTGCGCTGAGGTCACCGAGGCAGTCAAAAAGCTGCTCGGTGGAAAGTTGCCGGGGGGGAAACTGTCAGCTTGACCAGCATCTTGTTGGTCATGATGGCACCGTAGCGCAGAGGGTTACAGATGGCCACGTATCTGTCAAAGGCCATGATCATCAGCACAGTGTGGGAGGTTGTACCAAACATTTGGACAAAGAAAGACTGAACCACACACTCCTGATACGTGATGATGCGTTGAGCTGGAGGACGCAGGATGTCTGAAAGCAGCCTGGGCACAACATCAGTCGTTCCCATTATGTCACTGACTGCAAGGTTGCAAAACAGGAGATACATTGGCTGGTGAAGGCTCCTGTCAATGATGATTAAACATATGATGCCCAGATTCATTACAAGAACAAAAAGGTACGAAACGAAGAAGGTGAAGAAGACAGGGTACATGGATTTGCTTGTGACCTTTAGGCCTTCCATCTGTAGTTTGAAACTGTTGTAGGTGTAGTTTTCCATCAACCTGAAAGACAAAACAGCTGTCAGGGCATGACAGTGTGGTCCAAACAACGACCGCCAGTTGGACACTATTAGAACAACAAGAAGTGCATCAACAGAAATCATCATATTTATACCTGCTTCCCGCTGTAGGTTGACTGGTGAAAGCACTGCCTACGACCTGCTTTTATAGACCAACATTTCCATCAGGGGACTGTTGTTTTGGCCTACGGGCCGAATAGCAGTGTAGAATACCCGGCCTTCTTGCAGACACTGGGAGGGGTACTGGAAAGTGCTCCTCCCGGGGATTCCATCGTCCTGTTGGGGGACACCTGGAGGGGAGTGATTGGGAACAACGGCCTCCCCGATCTAAATCCGAGTGGTGTTTTGTTATTGGACTTCTGCGCTAGTCACAGTTTGTCCATAACAAACACCATGTTCAAACATAAAAGTGTCCATCAGTGCACTTGGCACCAGGACACCCTAGGCTGGAGGTCAATGATCGACTTTGTAGTTGTGTCATCTGACATCCGGCCGTATGTATTGGACACTAGGGTGAAGAGAGGGGCTGAGCTGTCAACTGATCACCACCTGGTGGTGAGTTGGCTCCGCTTGTGGGGGGCAAAGCTGGATAGACCTGGCAGACCCAAACGTATCATGAGGGTCTTTTGGGAATATCTGGCGGAATCCCCGGTAAGGGGGGCCTTCAACTCACCGAAACTGGTGGTGGACACCGGAGGTAAAGGAAGTCGTCAAGCTTAAGAAGGAGTATTACCGAGCCTGGTTGGGTCGTGGGACTCCTGAGGCAGCCGACGGGTACAGACAGGCCAAGCGGACTGCGGCTCGGG